CACGCACATACAAAAAACTGTATACAATATTGTCTGCGATGACGGATTTGTAAAAAGATCGAACCTTTCTATGTTTTGTTGGGACTTTTATAGATGAATCTTACTCTGCTGGAATTGTAGCTTAACTGAAATGCCATGAGCGGCTCTAAATAGCCCTGCATTTCCTACTAATCACCGCTGAACATAGAGTTAAATGAAGACCGTCTGAAATAATCTACAGGTTTGTATAGACCAATATTTCATGGATTTACTACTTTGACAACGTTATATTTAGTTCATTGGTGTTCATAAAAAAAGTGAAGATTTTATGTCTTTTTCGATCCATACTGAAAATAATATCAACCTCAATCGATCAGTCTTTAGTCATGGTTCAGGAGAATGCAGATGACGTTAAACATTGATCACACAAAATAATAATCCACTAGGCTAAGTAACCGATTGCGAGTCAAGAACTCAGGTGCATTGTTTCATTGGAGTTTCACAAAACATTTCATTGGTAAATGAATAGTACTGAGCTACCACTTCTTTCATAAAAGATTTTTCATGCCAGGTAAAGAGTTGTTTGCTATACTGTTGTAGCTCTGACACAGACCTTAACCGTAGAGAAGAAAATCAATATTTATATTATAAGAAAGGAAATAAAATTCAAACAGTTGTTAACTCTTGTTTTCCATAGTGTTTGTCTTCATAATGAATGTACAAGCAAGTTGATACTATCAGTATATGTAAGCTATTCTAAAGTCGATTTTCTCAGTGATCACTTTTTGCATTTAACCAATGAAAAATGTGCTTTTTATGTACACGAGCACTACTTTAATAGAAATATGCTAATTCTTCCTTTCTGTCAAATAGACGTCTAAAATGTTGTACCTCTGCACAAAAACTGTTTCCCAAATTTGATTAGACAAAATAATTTTTCAGTTTTCCGTCATTCTTGACAATTGCTTCAAAGGATCATACACTTTTATTTACAATATAACCGATAGATTTTTGCCTTAATTTAAAAAAGGCTTGAATTTATCACAGAAGACTTCTCGAAGGAAAATTGAAAACACTACGACTATTCTGCAACTAGCTACGAATAGAGGGTTCTGTCTCAACGCCTATGAATTATGATGGTGAAGGAGCATTTGATTACTTAATGAGAAAAATAATATTTTTCGTAAAAAAAGCTTTCTCCTGCTGAAGAAAAATCAGCTCAAAGTTTTGAAAAACTAAGTACGGATTCAGGGTTCACGATCCCGATTACCTTCGGATTTCATTTTATTTCATTTGACCTTTCCTTCAATCGAGGGAACAAGAAAAACTTTCTAGTTGCGTTCATCTGATTTCAATGAGTTTTTTTGCCAATAAGTGCTACTCATTGTTCTAATAAAAACTCTCAAAAGATTTGGATCCCTATTGAGACTTTATTAAGTTACCAAATTTTCCTCCAGTGGCTTCAAGTTTTCAGAAAACCCATATTTTTGAATTTTGGTTTGAAACTTTGCACATAGAGAGAATTCAATTAAACTAGCTTCCATAAGAAAACTTCAGAAGTTCTCAAAAAGTGCATGTTGTATCTCTATCTTGAAAGTCTCATACCTTGAAGAGACTTTCTTCAAAGCCTTTGAATGTTTGTTTAAGGAAGCTAATCTAATTGAGTTCTCTGTGTGCACAAAATTTCAGAACTAAATTTGAAAAATATGGATTTTCCGAAAACCTAGGGCTTCTAGAAAAAGACACGATTTGCTTGGTCAAATCTTAGTAGACTAAATTTTTGAAATTTAGAAATTTCTAAACTTTCTTATTTTTTTTCTAGTGTTTTCTATGATTATAATTGTTTGTGTTATGCTTTTATGGAATATTGAACTTAATGCTGTATAAGTTGTAAATATAGTTATGATAGGCTGTAATCTCAAAACAAAGATATTCGAAAGAAAAGAATTATGCAATTTTTTTTGTAGTCGGTTGATATTGTAGCTGAATATTGTGCTCATATTGCTCATTATTTTGCTGTTAGTCCAGGTGATAATCGATTAATATGTGCACAAATATCATTAGCTGAAATGGATAGTTCACTATGTTCTTAATTTAATGTCTATTTGCCAATGTAATATTATTTATTATTTAAAAATATTTAGTGGTATAACATTAACAAGAAGTGATGGTGCTGTAGAACTTACATTTGCTAAATTAAAACTTTTCCAGGTGTTTTATTTTCGTATATATTTTTGATTGGTTGTTATTGGTGCACTACACGATCTAGTTTTTCTTCCGATATTATTGAGTTTCTTTTGGTTAGTATCAAAATGAATAAAAAATTGACTTTTATCATATATTAATTGACAAGTTTCACTTGTTTTTGTTTCTTCTCAGGACCACAATCAGTAACATTAATCAATGATTGAAAATGTCAATGTCAAATAAATACACGCGATGATAGTTCATCAAGTGTAATGGCTCTTGATAAAAATATACAGACCATACCCTATCATTCAATAGACACATAATGAAGATGAACAGGTTCTTTTGCTTTTTGTTCTGAAAAAATATTTTACTCTTGCTTGTCAAATGCTTTGTCCTTTTTATCGTTTACATTATTTTATATATGATAAAAAGAAAAGAAATCTAAATCAAATAAGAGATTAGTTTATTCTAGGTATTTAATATTTTTTCTTCTTATAATGACGTCGATAATATCCGTCAAACATAAAAGAAAATATATAAATAGACTTTTTTTATTTGTATTAATTGGGAAGAAGTTTTGGTTCTCTTTGACTTCCTCTAGGCTGTCGTTAGACGTTATCAATTAAGAACGGGCGTAGATGAATAATAGTAATAATAATAAATGATGTATGTTATAATATAAAAAAATGAGGAACGGCATAAAATCTAACGCAATAATACAGATAAAATATTTTTTTATATTTAATGTTTTTACTCATTTATTATCTATAGTAAGAAGGCTATTATAATAAAAAGAAAAGCCTGACTTTTTAAAAAAGAAAAGCATTTTTTACTAGACATGACAAAAAAAATAGTAGTATTTCTCATGCATGATGAATAACACAATGTTTATCTGTAAAATAGTGTAACTATATTAAACATTGTCGGCACGACAAAGAATGATTTTAAAATAAAAAGTACGATATTTTCTTCATCAATGATTCGTTCTTGTCATATTATTAATATTAGAAAAATAGAATCACTACTGGTGAAAATGATATAATATGTTATAAACTTCATGTTCAGTCTAATACTCATGCGTGTGTGTTTGTGTGTTTTTTTCTCTCGAATAATTCTATTAGTAGAAAATTATTTTCTAATGTCATCATACCAAAAGTTATTTTATATGCATGAATTATATTCATAGTAAATGAAAATTATTTTAACACAACGTTTTTTTTCCTTTCTCTTTTTTTTTTCTTTGATAATATAGAGTGTCAACATTGACTGACATCTAGTACATTAATTTAGTGTAAGTTTATTTTTGACAACAGGAATAAAAATAACCAACTTATTTTGAAATTTTATTTTTATTTTTCTTTTCAAAGAAAATTTTCTTCATGTCAATTTGATTAGTTACTCGATTTTCATATGTTTAAAAGATGTACCAATGATTAAAAGGTGGGGATGATATTCGTAACTTTTTCAAATAGGAAAAAAACAAAAGAAATTATTTATGTCGTAAGTAACCATTGTCTTTTTTTCTCCTTTTTCTATAAATTTATTATTCCTTTTTTTGATCTAAGGTATTTTTTATCATATTTAGGTATATAATGACTAGCCCTCGAACTAGTTTATTAGATGCAATTATTGTTTATATCATGCCTGTCGTTTTTTTCCTGACGTGCTTCTAATATTTTTTTTTTCTGTTTGCCTGGGATGAATCAACAAAAACTCAAGCTTATGTCTATCGTCTAGTTTTCTTTTTTTCTTTATTTTTTTTTGCTTTATCAATTTTTCTTTCCATCCCAGGGACTTGAAAAATCAAATAAATGTAATGAGTTGAAGGTCAAAAATAAAACATGATGCTTTGGATAATAAAATGGTTATTCAAATAAATTTATTTCAATTCCATTGATTAAAACAAAAACAAAAGAAAAATTTTAATCAAACAAATGGAATAACTTTGATTTAAGTATTTACTTCAAGATCATTAAGAACGCATGAGAGAGAATAAAAAATAACAAATATATATTTAGTAGTTTATTTATTTGTTGAAACTGAGCAAATGAGTTTTTGTTCGAGTTTTCCGCTATGTTGTAAAAAACAAAACAAAAATAGAAATTGGGCATAATAACGTGTGCTCTTTGATAATGTCTCTAAAAACAGAACAGAAAACACTAAGTAATCACGCGCTAGTAAGCATCGTTGGTTGGTATAGACGACATTATAATAGTGAGCCAACTATAGTCTAAAAAAGAATCCATCCGAAAGAAAGAAAAAAAAAGGAAGAGACGAGAAAAAGACGAGGCATGACATTGGTTGCATAGAAGAACAAAGTCATCCTTCTTATAGTTCTCTCTACTTTTTTTTTTCTTGCTGTTCCCGGTATGGTGAACGAAGAAGCGCCTGGATTGATTACTCGATTATATAAGAGTACGAGAGAAAAAAAAGAGAGAAAAAGAAGAAAGTCGATCTTCAAAGAGAGATGGCGAGAAAAAGAAAAAGTATATAAGCAGAATGTGTCTCAACTGTTAGTACAGTGAGGTAGTGACATGTCACATGAGCATTTAAACATCACGACACTATTTCCTAGTTGAACAAACTCCAAACACCGTAATAAAATGACTCAATTTACATATGCCTTTTTATTTCTTCATCAATCTATATTTTTTTTACTCTTTTTTTTTGTTGTATTCTCATATTTCAGATGACGATGTTTTTGCTTAAAACATAACATTATTTATTGTGTTGTGTGTGTGTGTTGTGTGTGTATGATATTTCTAGAAAGACAAAAAAGAAAAAAGGAAACGGTAAAAATTAGCAGCACAATTCTAGTTTATCATTAAACTATGTTAACATTATCCGAAAAATTTAACGAACAAGATAATCGTTTTCAACAACAATTTGATGAATGGACACCATTTGAACAAATTTATGCATCAGTTGAATTAACAAAAAAATTACAATTATCCTATCGATATTTTCTTTCACAATTATTATCAAAAACAAATAATCAACAAGAAAATAACGATATGTTTCATCATACAGTTCATCAAGCAAATGCACCAGGTAAAAAGATAAACGAAACAAAAAAAAATAATTTAATAATTTATTTATTTTTTATTTTATTTTTAGCTATTCTTGCTTGTCTTCTATCGGATCCATTAGATAAAATAATTTCAACACTTCAACTTTATTTACCGTTAGTTTCAATGGCAACAACTAATGAAAAATTACTTGATTCGTATCGTGATGTATTAATTTATTTGGATTCAAAATTAGGTAATACATCAAATTTTTCCTATACAGAACAACAGCTAATTAGTTTTTGTCAACAAATTAAATTTTTTATTCAAGCAAATCCATGTTTACAAAAATTTTTAGTTGATTTACCACAATTAAATGCTTTAGCTTCATCAACAATAATGATTAATAAAGGAAATACAGAAGAGGTATGATCTTGATTAAATTTTCATGGAGAGTAAAGATTTCTATATAAGAAAATAAGAAGAAAAATTGTAGATGTAGTCAGGACATTCCAAGGTCATTATTTTATTTCCTTTTTCTTTTCTTTGTTTTATAAGTTTTCAAAATAAGAATACGGATGTAAATATTCCTATCGTACTTTCCATGAGAACAAATCGTTAATAGAGTAAAAAGCACTCAAATATATACATATAGTTAATTTTTTATCTCATCAAAATAAAACAGAAAAATATTCATAATATTTATTCGAGAAAATCAAACAAAAAAAAAAACAAGAACTTTTTGATCGTTTTTTACTGATTCTTTTCTTTTAAATCAAAGAAATCATTATCATCATCTCCATCATCACAAAGACATCAACCATTACAACGTTATCCATCAATTCGACTTCATCAACAAACACCGCCGCCACCACCGTTAATGAACTTTTCTTCTGAAGGTTCTCATAATTCTTCATTATGTCAACAATTAATACGTCATGTAGCTAATGATAGTGGTGTTGATCTAACTGAACCAAGTATAACAAATTCTGTACAAAATATTTTATCAACACATGATTCGCAACATACAGCTATTGGTCGTTCTCATTCCGATAATTTAGCATTAATTAATGGACAAGATAATCAACATAATCATATATATGTTGGTAAATCAGCATCATCGCCAACACCTGAACAAACAGCATCAAGTCATTCATCACTTGTACCTTTATCGGCTGTATTAAGTGCACCAGCACAATCAATTCATTCATATTATTCTGAACTTCGTCATCAAAGTTCAAATTATCGACATCAACAAATAAAAACACCATTTCCAATAAGTGACGAAGAAGAAGAAGATTCTCAACGACAACAAAATTCTATACAAGCAATACAAAATTCAATTGATAATTTTTCTTTAGAGGTTAATACAGCAGATAATCGTAATCGTTTAAATCATTATCGATCATTCTGTGATCGACATACAAGAAAATATACAAATAATGCAAGAAATAACACGGAAATTGTATCACCATATTTAGGTGTTGATAGTAATTCTGGTTCTATAACTAATAAATTTCTACAACCAAATAGTGGCATGCGTGGTAAATATAGATTTATATAGATATATATATATACTTATTTTCTTATCTCGTTTTTTTTCTTTTTATATTTTTTAAGATGTACCAAAATGGTTAAAAACTCTTCGCTTACATAAATATGCTTTTTTCTTTTCACAAATGACATATGATCAGATGATGAATTTAACTTATGAACAATTGAAAGAAGGAAAAATAACTGATGGTGCATGTACTAAAATATTATTAAATATAAAAAAATTAAAAGAAAGACAAACATTATTACAAAAATGTCTTATTGATATTGATAATGGACAAACTGATATAAAAACAGTTTTACAACAATTAAATGAATTAATGTTAACACCAATACGTGTTAAACAAACTGAAATGGTTAATGATAATGATGAAGATCTACCAAAATTAATCATGCAAGTACTTGAAAAAGGTATATTCAAAATAGAGAAATATCTGCTTATTAAGAAAGAAAAATTCATCGATATGAACATCGCCAATCATTTTTAATCTCTGTTTCAATTAGATACATTCCATCGCGACTAAAGTCTATCATAGACATGAGTGGAATCAGTCATGTTTAGTCTGAGTTAAAAAAAAAATTTGCTCCTGCTCCTAGTCAAAGTAAAAATTTGGGTCCGACTTCGAACCTATCTAAAATAATAATAATAATAAATAATTTGATTAACTTGTATGTGTATATATATGATAAATGGATTTTTTTCGTCTTTAGTCTATCAACAATTAACATGCAATAATTCTTCAACAAATATATTATCTGAAATGTGCAATAATTTAGTTGGTTTATTTGATCGTTGTTATAAACATGAAGCTTTTTCAGCTGATCAACGTCATATATTATTACATTGGCGTGGTCCATTATGTAATAAATTACAAACATCAGGCAAAATTGATTTTAAATCTATGCAATCATCATCATCATTAAATCGTCGTGTACAACTTAAACCACAATCAAGTATGGGAAATATAAATACAACGCAAATATCACGACCAACTGTACGAAATATAAAAAGTACATTTTCATATTTTTCAAATTATAATACAAATTCAATACCATTACCAAGACAACATAATTCGGAATTATCAAATCAAAATGGAAATAATAATAATAATTCAACAGAATTAAATTTCAATCGATGTCCAACAAAATCACCAACATTAATATTTCCTATAAATGATGATTATTATAGTGATTCAACAACATTAGCAAATCATTTATCATTAACATCAACACCATCATTACAAGAACAATTAATCAATCATCAAACAACACCATTTTTAACTGAACGTACTGGTAATGGTACTGGAAATTTTCGACCATCATTTAATTATATTAAATCAACAACACAAAATAATAATAATAATGGAACATATTTAGCTGCAAATCAACATCAATTATTGACACGAAAAAAAAGTATTGATCCATATGGTGAAGCAAATCCAGATGATAAAACAAAATTATGTAAAACATATAGTGATCCAAATAGAATTCGTTGTTATAATTCATTACAAACAGGAAATCTTCAATCAACAACACAAACACAAATATCATCTCAACAAACAACGTATGGAATGACATTAACACCATATTCATCACAAAAATATTTAGGACATTCCCAATCAAAATCAACTCATTCAAATAATTTATTTGATACACAATTAAATAATGAATTATCTATTCAAAAATCTTATTCAGATACAAATTCATCTGTTTTCTATGGTAAAAAAAAAACTCAAATTTTGAGAAGATCAATAAAAATTCTTTCTTTCTTTTTTGTCTTATTGAAGGAAATGATAATAATAATTCAACAAAAATATTATCATCATCATCATCATCAAATGATAATCATAATCATGATATTGAACATAGTTATCATCAACAACATCATGCTTCAGAATTTGAAAGATTCTATCTTCGAGTTACTGAAAGTGCCATGAACGATGGTAGGAAGATCTATTTTTTTTCTTGTATGTATAAAGAAATTTATTATAAAATCTCTTTTTATTTAAAGATGCATCAATTGATCGTAAAGAAGATTCTTTGAATATTCAAAATATAAAAAGATCTTCAAATCATTCAATCGATACTGAATAATGATCAATTGGGTATATTATAAAACAAGCACGAAAGAAAAAAGAAAAGACACTTTTCTTATGTACATATTGTTTTCTCTGAGTGTCGGGTACACTCAATCATATAGCTTTTTCTTTAGCATTAAGTCGCGCTTTTGCTGTTGTTATTGCTCTTGTTGTTTTTATTATTGTCGTCCCCGTCCGGTGATATTCAAAAAAATCCAAAACACAAGCCAAAACAAGAACCCAAAAGCAACAACATTAAAAATAGCCGGTGATATCTTCATACTTTTTATTTCTCATTTTGGCTGCTGTGCTGCTTCATTTTCATGTATGCATTGGGAGAAAATGTTGACACAAAAAAAAAAAAAAAGAATAATTCCTTTGCTTTTTATTCGTTATCATTTATATTATTCAAACATATTAGCACCTATCGGCTGGCCGTATTTGAATGTTTTTTTTTGTTTGCGAGTGTTTATTATTATTATAAGAGGAAGTAAAAACATATTTAACCAAATGTTTGAGGTATCTCTTTTGTTTTTTGTGTTGTTGTTTCTTTTAAATGTATGTTAAAGTTCATCTATTTTTTGTTTTGTTCTTTTATTTAATTGATTAAATATTAAAAGAAATTTATCTATAAAATACAATTGAGTTTTAGATTTCTATTTGATTATGACATCTTCATCAGCATCATTATTTAAAGAACGTGCAAATTTTCTTAAACGACAAGGGGATGCATTAGCTTTTACTGCATCAACGGAAAAACGTCCAAAAACTGAGAAATCATCATCACAAAAAACGAATCGACCAAAACCGACATTTGGTCGATCGAAAACATCATCAGGTCTATATCGGAATATTAATATTAATATTAATATTTTTGAAAATATCTTTCTTAGATTTTACAAATGATTATCATGCATCAAATGCTTCTTCAAAATCAAGATTTTTAACACTAACAAATATTGTCGAAAAATTACAAGTAAATTTGCTCTTCAAATCGAAACTATTTTCATACAATTAAACTAATCAATTTCTATAAGACTTTTTCAAAAGAAAAACAAATCCCGTAATTATTTCAAAGGATCCTAAGTATTAAAATAGTTTGCTTGAGAGGGAATTGCCCTGATTGTAAATGAACTCCTATTGAGTCCAAAAGAAGGTCTCGGTAAGACTGGAAAAAGCTTAAAATGGTTCATATCCATGAAATTCTGGAGCCCATTTATGACTATTTTACTGAATTTACAAGCTGAAGATAAGTCTAATGATTAGTAGAATATCCTAGAATTTTTAGGTGAGAAGAATGTTCATTTGCCGATATATTGAGTTTCCAACAAATATTTACGTGCCATGTACGTGTCACAAAAATCGAGTTTATTTGGAAATTGAATATCTCAACAAAAACACATTCTTTGCACGTAAAACTTCCAGGATATTGTAAAAATCATTAGATCTATCTTCAGGTATAAAATTCAGTAAAACGATCATAATTCAACTTTAGGAACCCATGAACACGAATCTTTTAAAGATTTTTCTAAACAGTGAGCTATACAATTCATATAGTTCCCTCATTAGTAAACTTGATCGAAAGAATTTTTTCTCTCAATTACTTTGCTGAATTTTTTTTACAAGATTTTTCCTAGACAATAACATTGGTTTTTATTACTGAAAATCATGCTTGACTTAAACATTATTAACTGACATAAACACGTCTTTGATAATATATGTTCTAGTGTTCTGTGACATTTCTACGTCATGACCTGAAGGAAGAAAGAATATTCGTGCCTTTTGACTATCATGTAGTATAGGGTTCTGTCTAGCAGCAAATTTAATAAACTGATATCTAGTCTACAACTATGACTAACTGTAGTTATAAACAGAAGACCGGCCTGATATAGAGTTTTTGAAAGCTCAATTACTTGAGCTTTCTATACACACTTGGCACAACAGCAGATGTATATCACAATTTAAACAGCATATAGTCGGAAGGGTAATCCAGGTAAAATAGTCCTTAGTAACTTGTCCAGGATCATTTTATAGCTGATAGTACTGAGGTTTGCACACAGTAATTTGTAGATTTGTGTCAAACAACAAAGCCACTCAGCCATGACGGATAACGCGTTTCTTTAGAAAATTGTAAAAAAAAACATTTTTCAAAACAGGCTCAAAAGCATACTGAAACCCTCCGATAATATATATTCTACTACATTTAATTTTTTATTTGCTTAGTGAATTCTTATATTATATCGAATTTCTATGCTTTTGATACAATTTAGTTCGATTTCTTGATTTTGAATTGCTTTCTTATAAATTAAAAAAAAAAGATAAATTTTCAAAATAATCTATCCTATTATTGGAAAATAAAATAAATTTATTAAAAAAGCAAAAAATAAAAATTGATAATTAATATTGACAATACTAAAAATAGATGATTCTATTGATAGAGTTAATACACGATATAAAATTTTTTCATATGTCAAGAAATTTAAAACTTTATTGATAATAAATATTATCTTTAGGAACGTTTTCTTGGTGGGCAAACTGATGCAATAACATTAGATGAAATAATAGAAGAATCTAGTCTTATAATTGATCCATCGGATAAACATTGGCTTGCTTCTGAAGTAATTTATTTTTTTGTTTATCATAAATTTTAAATCTATATATTCTTTTTAATTCAGGCACTTTTATCAAATGAAAAAATTGATGTTAAAAAAGTCGATGACACGAATAAATTTGTATATAAGCCGCCACTTGATTTAAAAGCTCCAAAAAAAGTACATCTTCTTAATCTTTTAAAATCACGACATGAAAGATGTGAAGGTGCTGTAACTGTTGATGATGTAAGAGATACAATACCAAAAGCAAGAGCTGATATTATAATTGAAGTATGCTAAAAAATACATATTTGCTGTTTCTTATTGTTATAATTTCACTTTTTTTTCCTTTTCATTTAGAGTTTAATAAAAAGTGGTGATGTTGTCAAAGTAACGAGTAATAAAAAGGAAATTTTATTTTATACTGATCGTGCTTATGATCTTCGTGTTAATCCAGGTTAAATTACAAATAAAATATATAAAGATTTTTTTTATTATTAGTTTTACTCTTTTGATTATTTAGAATTTATTGAATCATGGAGAAAAATATCAGTCGAAGGTTTAGATGATAAGAAGATTTGGGAATTTCTTGATAATCAAGGGCATTATGGTTTAACAAAGAATGCACCACGGCTAACTGTATGTTTGATTTATATATTCTTATTTTGATTATTATAATAATTATATAAACTATTTTAGCAATTACCAACAAAATCATCGAAGCGTGGAGGTCGACGTGCAGATACAATGAAACACAATCAACATGTTGCTCATCAACTCGAAGTAAAATGATAAAAATTATAATATGCAAAGCAATCTTTTATTTATTTCTAGGATTATTCCAATACAACAATCAAAAAATAAATGTATAAAAAATCTTTCTTTGTTTTGGAATATATTTCTGTCGGACTAATATAATCATGATCAAAGCCGAAAAAAAAACTTCATATTGTCAAGCGAATAGCTTCCTTTTTTTTCTTCAGAATAAAAAAACAATATTTGTATTTAAAGCATAAATATGTGAAATATTGTTCCTGTTCAAACTAGATATTTTGTATATAATCAAATGAATATTTATGTAAATAGTTCAACAAAAGATTTTAAAATTCATGTGATTCGAATTTACTTATGAATGACGAAAATAAAATAACGAGATAATGTGTTTTGTATTGAAATTTTTTGAAATGGCATAAATGTTCTTGTTTCATCGAAGTTTTCTTGGAATTTCTCTTGAATAGTATTATTTACTTTTTTTTATATTAGAATCATAAAATATCGTAGAGTTCTAGATATTTTTCAATCGATAAAATCTATTATATTCTTCTTAATATTTTATGGAAGATTTTTAGTACGATTCTTTTATGTTATAATCTGATGATGAAATAAATTAATTCAAGTAAAAGTATAACAAGATACAACAGGAACACATTTTTGTTTCAGTTCAAGCAGTGTGAAAAAAAACAAATTATTTGCAGTCTCTTAGGATGACCTTTATCATATCTCAAGACATACTCATCTACGCTCTATACTTGAACATGTGTAATAGATGATATTTATCATGAAATAAAAATCATATTTTATTCTATCTGAATATTTAATTAAAAAAACAAATTTCTTTTTGAGTTCATATCTGCATGACTGATTTTTCTCTATATGATTTTTTGCATACAACAACAACAACAACAACAACAACAAATAAAAACAAATATAATATTAATTTGTCATTCAACAATTTAAGCGTGATATATAGTTTTTTTTTAGTTTTGAATACAAAAAAAAAAGTCTAGCGGAAGAAAGAAATATATATATTGTCATGTTGATAATCGATCGAATGATTGAACAGATTCACGAGCTGAAAAAGATTGTTTTGATGATGATGACGGTTTTGATACGACAACAATATCTTTTTCGGATAGTATTTGAACAAAAAAAACTCCTTCTTTTTTACGAAATCTTCTATTAGCTGCATCAAATGATAATCGTATACCAACAAATATACTTAATAAACATAGTAAACATTCAATTAATGATATAATTAATGCAATAAATACAAGTAAATCTTTCTGTTCTTTTAAATAAGCTTGTCCATCAGTCATTATATTAACAAGACCTAAACGTAGCAATTGAATATTAACACAATCAACCATAAGTGTTACAATACTTATTGCTACATAGCATAGTATCTAAAACAAAATTAAATTAATATAACACAAAAAAAATTTCCTTTATTCATTATTAATTAATTTTTCATTTACCAGATAGAGACCTTTTTGACGTGCACATATTATCCCTGTAGTACCACAAAGTGCAAACTGAAATAAACATAAAAGTATCAATTACCATAAGACAAAAAATTAAAAAAAAAAAAAAACTTTACAAAAACTCCACTCCATAATGGTGATATGCTATGTGCCATCCAAACAGGTTCTCGACTTTGTGAAATAATGCCAATAATAATACTCATTAAAGCGAGTATGACATGTAATGATGATATAGCATAGGTCAGTACGATGAGTATGTACATGAGATAGAGAACATTAGTATCATCTCTCTATCGGTTTAAATTTTACCGACACAACAACACAATAATAAATGAAAAAAAAATACGATCGCAATGATGATAAAAACAAGGACACAAGCTCATGTCACATCTCATAAAAGATTAGAAGATGTTTCGCTGTTGTTAGCCTCTGTCTGTCTGTCTGTCTCTCTCTCTGTTGCTCTCTTTTGTTGACAACAACCAACAAGTTTGCTAACGTCCGGAACAAGAATATAGAGAAGAAAGAAAGAAAGAAAGAAACAAATTCGAGAACGTTGTAAAACAGCAGTATTTGGCATTGAACGATCCTTTCCGCTTTTGTCGTTTGTTTTTTTTTTGAACATCATACGAGCGTGTGCAGATGAGCATGCAAGTCATAACGAATGCGAGCGATAATAGAATCTGTTCATAGTAAGGAGCAACTAAAAAAAAATACACGCAATATTACCCGATAATAAACCACAACTCGTTGATCAAAAGAGAGGGAGAGAAAGAAGTAAAATACAACGACAGCTTTTTATAATTGAATCGTCGACGTTTCTTCGGCATTGATGACAACCTCAATTGACAACCACTTCGATTGATCGTCATGCATTTTTATTAGTAGAAAGAAAAGGTTCTCTTTTTTTTTCTTATATGTATATATTACTAATATAACTATAAGATATTTTGAGAGAATAATCAATTGATTAAAAACTATTATCGTGATTCAATAAATCGAAAATAATAAATATTATATTTGTTCATTTTGATATTTTTTTAATTTCATTCGTTACAGTCATTGCATTCAACATTGATATATGAATATTAAGTAAAAGAAGCAAAAATTGAAAATAGATACGTTGTTCAGATAAAACATATCTCTTCCTTAATTAAGAAATACAGAGTTATTAGAATTTATTTTTTTTTAGTAGCCTATTATAGATTGTAGATGACTTTGAGAAATATCATAGTTCGCCTTAAGGATCACTGTTTTATTCATATTTTCTCTTCCGGTGAGACAATTCAAACTTCTGGAAGGGCGAACACCAGTATTTTGGTACTGCAGACACACAGTACCATAGTAACAAGCTCCCGAAGACCCAACACAACTTTCGAAGGAGCATCGTCTCTTCGGTTCTCACGTTTGATAAAACACTGTTAAAAGAGCAGAAAATCCAAAATCTTGGGTTTATACCTAGTCCTATAACAGTAAAATCACTTAGATTTAATTTGAATTCGGAAATTTAAGATGTTAGAATTTTGTGAAGGAAATTTCTCACAAGTAAAATGTCTTTTTGTCTGATACTATATAAAACAAAATTATTATAAAACCCGTCATCTACACAAAACATTCCACATTGTTATGGTTCAATGAAATTTGATCGAATAGATACGCTCTTTTATTTGTTCAATACTGAGATGTGAGAAAATAGTCATTTGAGTTGTATCTTGAACTATAGATGTGAAATCTTTCTATTAGAAGCACGTATCAATGCCAAAATTACATCGAAAAGAAATATCATTTTTATGTATTTATTTAAAACTTGTTGCGAAGATAATGAATCTTTAAATAGTTTTGTCTTGTATAGTATCAGACAAAAAAACCTCCGAAATTCTTTTCTTTCGATTGATGAAAAACGCAACTCGCTAACAATTGCCATCATCGAGTTATCAAGGTTACATCCACCCCTCTCTGTAATTCTGTTATGGACATTAATTATTTGTATATACATCTTCTTATATGATGTTGAAATGATCATCATAATTTAGAATAATACGCCGAAAAGTTAACCTTGAAAACTGATATTTATCATAAAAAAGCTACAGGTGTTTATATGTTAATCAATAGCAACTCAAGCCAAAGAATCCAAATATTGTATAATATATATTATTAATTCATTTGATCAAGATATATATTTTTTCCAGAAGTTTCTAATTAATATTTATTTATCATATGAATTCGGTATTCATTCAAAATGTATATATTTCATTATAAGCAATACCTAAAATTCTTCTACATTACATTAGTTTGACGGAAAAAAAACAAAAGCCATGACATATATATATATATATAAAGAGAAAGAAACAAAAGAAAACACGTCTTTCTATAGATGAGTCAAAATATGTCAATACAAAAAACGTCATCAAGAAAGAAAAAAAAAATAACTAAGAAACATTATTATCATTGTTGATATTCTAATGATGATGATTTGACTGGTCGAGGTAAAACAAATTTACTATATGATGAAACATATTTTGTATAACGTTCTGGTGGATCTTTTCGTATGTTTAACGGTTTAATTAAACCTGTTTGATGGTCTGGTTGATAAAAATCAACATAACTATGTGAAAGTGAAAGTTCATTATTATTTATTCCATTTGTTAAATATCCAAGACCGTGTTCTTCAGATTTATTCATTTTTAAAGAAAAACGTTCTTCATATTCTTCATCGATTTTTGTTGGTACAGGTGGTAATGTTTGACAATGACGTAAATAGCTATATATTCCATCACCATCATCATCATCATCATCTGTTGCAATTGATGATTCTCTTGTTAATACTGCTGGCATATTCGTCTGTCGAATAATAGGATGTATTAATGGGTTTTTTTCTACCCCGGGTAAATGACTAATGTGAACAGTAGCTGGAGGAGGAGGAGGAGTACGAGGTTTATTTATTTGCTCAATTGGAGTAGATGATGGAATGGTACCATTAATTTTCGTTGAAGGATTCGTTTCTTTAGCAGGTATAACAAGTGGTTTTTCGGTTGATTTTTTTATTAATAATTTCTTTTTCAATTTCTTTTGTTGTTTTCTATTATTTCTTGCAAGAAACCAAGATACAGCTGCAAGTAGTAGAAGTAAAAATGCAACAGAAAAAAGAATACAACCAGCCAAGAATCGCGATTGAAATAAAAGAATAGCAGCTAGAAGCAAAAAGAAAAATAATCATTATTAGATATAATTTGTTTTTTTTTTTCGAAAATTTAATTATTTTTACAATCTTGTTTTTTTATAATATCATCATAATTCGTTTCACATTGTTCACCAAAATATCGATTGTCACAACTAATCAAATGAAAATCCAATAGAATTTTAATCAATCAAGAAAATAAAAAAGCTTATAGAGATTAAAGTATTTGTACTTACACACATTTCATTTGATTATTAATAATAATACATTGTCCATGATCATGACAATTTTTTAAACTAGAACATGTTACATTTATATTCGATTGATGATGATGATGATGATTATCTATATTTAAATAAACACTAGTTGTTGTATGATTCATTGGATTTTCTGCATCTAAGAAAATATTTTTCTTGTTTTCAAACGAAACAAATAAAGAGAATCTATGAAATCTTACGACAAATATAAATTCCAATATCATCAAATATTAACGGTCGAAAATATAAAATTGATTGATATCTTTAAAAAAAGACAAGATAACGAAGAAATTAAAAAATACATATTAACAATTAATGAGAAAATTTCACTATACTTATGTTGTACAGAATAAATTCGACATGATGTTTTACATTGTTTAGATAATGGATAATATTCTAATATATCGTTTTTATCGTTTTTTTTACTCCATAATAAACGAGGTAATGGATTACCACGTGAATTGCATTGAAGAAAATAATCTTTTGACAAAATGGCTTTATCTAGGCGAGTTTTTATTAGAACTTTGGGTGGATATGTCTCTAAAAAAAGAGAGAGAGAAAAAAATGTCAGAACATACGATAACTGTCTATCTGTCTGCAATTGCTAGCATATTACTGATGATAATCGTACTACTAACACCAGACAGAACTGCCCGATAAGAGAAAAAACAGAACGATAGTAGGAATCAGTGTCTTTTACACTTCCCTTTCTATCCAAAAGGCAAAACTATTCTGCAAAGTAACATGCTATATACATCGTCTAAACAATCAACATAGTCAATGTCAAATAAATAGCAGAAATTCGTCAAGGAAGATTGATATAACAGAATAGTAGAACGACTCATCTTCGTCATTGATAGATGATGCACTTTAACTATGTATATATATATATATATATTTATAAGTGCTATGTACACATTAATAACTATTTATATGCATATATATACATATATATCCATCCTTTTACTAATGATGAGGTACAGACAAATTTTACATATAAATGTGACACATATATTTAATTGATTGAGCATACACAAATGACCCGTAGAACAATGATTTAGATTAAATTGTCAAATTAGTAATCACCAATTGCTTAGTGAGTGGAAACATGTATTCATTTTGAAGTTCGATTAAGTTTTTTTACTTTCTTTTTGTTTTGATTATTAACGGATGTGGTAGGACATTTATGTGACAAAGGCACTCACTATTTCCGCATCGTCGATCAATCTCATCAAGATTTTCGGTTTAGCTTTATATGTAAAGAGAGAAGAAAAAAATGAATGAATGCACACACTCACACACAAACACCTGAATACGATATAACATATTTACTTTCTATAATGAAAAAGAGAAGAAGAAAAAAAGAAGGAAGAAGAAGAAAATATTATTAATAAGAAGACTTATAATTAGTTTTTTCTTTCTTTCTTTTTATGGATAAGTTTTTCAGATGATAAAACAAAAAAAAGATTTGTAAGATGACAAGTCTTACATATTTAATAGATGCTTACCATGATTGAGAACTACATCAATATGTTGTCGTGTACGAAATGTTGATTCAACTGGTGGATAATGTAAATCAAATTCATTAGTATTAGTATCATTAAGAAAAAGGATAATATCAACAGTTGATATTCGAAGTAAATGCCAACATGAATCATCAAGATATTCGTTATCATTATCGTTTATTTTTATTATGACAATATCATTCATTTTGACTAGTTGATCTTGATGACGATTAATTCTTGACATTTTAATAACTTCACGTACAAGAACTTTCCTAATAATAGTCATATTTTTCGCATAACCTTGTTCTGATGAACGTATTGGTTGAACGCGTAAAATTAACGAATGACTATATGTAGCCCATTGTAAGTTAATAGCACTTGATAAATCACACTGACTAATAGCAATTGTTAAACGAATAAATATGACGTTAGTGATCAGAATGATTAGTTGAATACAAATAATTGTAGTACTCGACATGCAACAATGAACTGCATTGACACAACGTATCAAGAGAAGAGAGAGAGAGAGAAAGAGAGAAAGAGCAAAAATGCTTATTTAAATAAACCTATATAAACAAATATATATAAAGATCACACAAGAGAACTTTGTATCGTCTCTATAAACACCGCTTTTGTATGTTAGCCTTCGCTCTCAGTTTTTTTTCTTCTCCTGTGTATTTGGCAATTTTTTGTTTATGTGGAAAACGATGAAAAGAAAAAGAAAAAAGACAAAAAAGACGATAGAGAGAGAGAGAGAGAGAGACAAAGAAATCATCATTAATAAAGCAAAATTGAACGTAGAATAACATAAAGAGTTGAATAACGGATGGCAAGATCATCTACTCCCTAACATGTCTCTATTGTCATTATTATTATCATCGTCAAAACTAGTAGGTTGTCTCTCTTTCCGTCGTCTGCAATCTATTGTTTTATTTTTCTACTGTTCGTTATAACAAGTATAGACGAATGACAAGAATGAAATACGAGCTATTCTTAATGATGAATAAAATAAGAAAAGAAAAACTAATACTACGTGATCATCTTAACCGACATCGAATAGTGTTATCGAGCTTGTTGGAACTTAGTAGAAATTTAACATATGAGCAATTCATCGATAAATTCATTCGAGCTTATATTTTTTTATATGACGATTATAAAAGCGAACAAGGACAAAACAATTTCCCTAATTATTTATCTTACTGAACTTCTTATTCTGCTTCTGACTTTCTTTTTGATAATACATTTACCAAAATACAATAGTTTTTCAGACTTTTGTTTTTGTTTATGGAATTTACTAAAGAATAAATTTTAATTTCTATATAAGAACTTTTTATACTAATAACATATTAGTGAGCTAAATCAATATCTATCGTACATTTTATATATATATATATAGATGTGTTATTTATTTGTTCTTTTGATTGTATATAACAGTCATCAAACGATGAAAGATACATTGTCGAATATATACAATAAGCTTGTTTGATTAAATCACATATACTAATTGATGAGTGATATCATATAAACAAAAGAAGAATGATGAGAGAGTTTTATCTAATTAATATGGAAAGTTGAGCAATTTTTATTTATTAAAAATAAATGAAATATTCCAAATACATTTTAATTATTCACAATCTATTGTTAATAAGAAAGCAATAATCTGTAGATTATATATGTGACAAAAATTAATATTGATTAAAAATCATCTAATGGAGATGTTCCATAAGCTGAATGATATACTTGATCTAGCGTAGAGATTAGAAAACGAAAATGATTAATAAAGCAAAAAAATAATAAAAAAATTCCTACTATTTATAGATTTTTTTAAAGACATGTCAGGATTAGAACGTATTGAAGATTTAGATCCTAATGTTGATTCAATAGATGTTCCTGTTAATGAATTAACAGATTTATTATTTAATTGAGATGATTTTGGAAGATGACTAGATGATAATAAAGAGGGAGATGTTAATCGAGGGTTGATGGGAGGTTTAACTGAAATATTTAATAATGTTTCTCTTTCATTCGTTAGGGAATTAGTGATGTTTCGAGCTAATTTTGCACGTGGAGTTAATAATGATAATGAGGTAGTTGGTGATTGTGAACGGTATGGTGATTCATCTGTAAGTCGCTTTAATAATTGCTGTTCATTAGGTATTGGACTGAGGGAATCATTGTTACCGTATAGCAACTTCAAACTTTGATTAGATGATAATAGCGAAGTAGCTGTTGGTCGAGAGAAATTTGGTTGTTCATGTGAAATTCTAGTTAATGAGCTCTGAGCATTCGACAATGGCTTGGTAAGATGATGCTTATTATGTAATAATTTTATATTTTCATTTGATGATAACAGTGCCGTACTTGATGATCGAGGATGAGATGGAGGTTGATTTAGAATTTTTATTGACGATGATTGTTCACTAGTTATTGGAGCAGTACGATCATTAGTATTGAAAGGTAATTTAGAACGTTGACTAAGTGATAATAAAGGTGTAGTTGTTGGTCGTGGATGATGTGATGGTTCACTTGATGTTATTCTAGCTAATAATTCTTGTTCACTAGTTGATGGATATGTAAAATCATTAATATTACGCGGAGATTTTAAATGTTGAGTTAATGATGAAGATTGAGGAGGAAACTTATCAATTGATGAATTAATTCTTAATAATTCATCGTTTGTTTTTAATGTTGTATTCAGACGAGAAGATGGATTGATATTTTCTTGAAATGTATGTGAATTAGGTAGTTGTGTTTTTGATGTATTAGGTAAATGAGAAGATGATAATCGAAGATTATGTAAATTTAAATTTCTTGAAGATTTTTCAATTGGTCCTAGATTATATGGAGAAGAATATTTTGATTCTTGTTTATTGTCTTCATTGTCATATTTTTTTGATTGAGTATCAGAACGAATATTTGATTGAATAATATGTTTCTTTTTCAAATCAATATTTACATCGGATGATAATGATGATTTATGAATTGATTTTGGTGTTAAATAAATATCAAGTTTTCCATCTTGTTTATCTTTTCCTAACCAACAATTAGCTTGAAATTCATAGATTTCATCATTATTTTCATCCACATGTGTTTTCATATTATTATTTATTATTAAACGATCGGAAAGTAATAATGAACGTATTGATGAATCAAAATCAAATGAATTTATTTCTTCAATTGATTTTATTTTCCATTTATTATCCATATAATTATGTGATGATATCCAATAAATTTCATGATCAATATGATTTGATTCATAATAAAATGAATTATTTTTATTATGTTGTTGTTCATCTATAGGTTGCATTGTTTTTAAACGTTGTGAATCAATTGAAAATAAATCATCTTGTGAACCAATACTTTGTTCATCCCATGTAACTTTTTTTCGTAAATTAATTTTATCATATATTGTTGGACTACGTAAAATACTTCGACTACTTCCTAAACGATCATTTAATCCATTATTATCTGAATTTTTTAATTTAAAACTTTGTCGATCAATTGAAATATGTTCATCTTCATTTTTTGAAGATGTTGTACGTACATTGGAATTTATGTTCATATTTTTATATACTTGACGATATAATGCATTACTTATTTGTTCAACACGTTGAATATATATATTTGATATTGTATAACATGTTGAATATTTTTTACGAATTATTATTGATTCAAGAAACCAAGCTGAACCAATATTAGAATTATCATGCCAAATTTTAATTCGATCTATTTTACCTATATCAATATCCATAATCTAAATAAACAATATCAATGAATATAAGATTTTTATAATATTTAGCTATGATAATAACTATTTCATATATAAACAAGATAATAATTTCTGATAGATGATAATCGATCCAACAGTATTTTGTTATAATTTATACTAATAATTTTCTTCTATTGTTTCAGATGTTTTTATGATGAAAGAAAAACTGCATAAAAGAATCCAATGTCGATCATCGCTTTTTTTTTTATCTAACTATTGTAAACCACTTCTATTAATAGTAATGGTCAGATTAATAATGTGATAAGAAAAAAAGTTCACAAAATCAATCATGCATATTCTATAAGATGTTTAGTAATTCGACGAATGCATTTTATATAAAGAAAAAGATAGATGTAATCGTTGTATTATCAGTTGATAGAACAGTATTTGTAATAAGACTTTTATACGTGAACAATCACTGATGATTTATTAAAAAAACGATGATCATTAGACATGAACATTGTTCATGCTAGAGATGTGCACTACTCATGCTTGATTCTTTTCTTATATGCCTGTCGGGTGGTCGTGACTTAACACACTAACTGTTAAACTGTATTGTTAGAACAATTGTTTTTTAAAGGGTATACATAAAACATTGAAAGTTAAGACAAGGAATTTAATCGTTGGCACACTGGTTTTTATGAGATATTGTTCATTTGATTACTTAATTTTGATACTCATTTATTATGTTTATAAAGTAAATCATAAGGAATGTTGATTAAAAATTATTCTGATAGTAAATCGATCTTACTCAAAACTTTGTGAATGTCACTGTGTGATTACCAGAATATTCTGTGTGCTGGAAAAATATCGAAAAAAGCAATGTCTTCAGTAAATGAGTGACAGTATTTTTCATCATCAAATTTTTCAGTATTTATGTCATATTATTATTTATCAATAAACACTAGGTATTGTTCCAGACTGGCGACAATCTCATTCTGACACTCTTCGACAGTGGCGTAGGCAGAAATTTTTCAAGGGGGGGGGGGGCCCGCCATGGCACAAAAAACTTTTTATCACGCGAAAATATTTTTTCCTGTACCCCTTCAGAACTTTTTCGTCTCAAGGGGGGGCCCGGGGCCCCTCGGCCCTCCCCCCCTGCGTACGCCACTGCTCTTCGATACCCTCATCCGCACTTTCTTATATTCCTCAATGTCAATCAGATCAATTAATTAAAGATATCCTTGATCGGTACTTCTCCGAATCAGTGACACTCATACTCCTTGATGTGCTCTGTCAGTTTGATCAATTAGTATATTAGATGTCGTCGATCTGGAGTAGAATCATGTTTTTATACAGACACGCACCCTCCTTTCACGAATTGCTTTGATCATATATTAATTTGTTTTATTTCTAAAAACAAAGTGCTAAATGTAGGTGAGAAATTTTATGTGGATTGTGTAGAAACACACATGAAGAGATAATGAAAAATCATTACGCGAAAAAAAAAATTGGCGATCAAAACTATTTTTCTCCCAATAAATGATGATTCTAAGCATCAATAGTTCATTGTTGTTAAAGAGTTGGACAAAGAACTATTATAGAAACTAAAATTCTATTGTCATGATTGCAGTTGCTGTAGCTTCATTAGATGCAACTCAACCAAAATTGCCAGCTATTTTATTTCAATGCATTTTTGTATGAATAATCTTAGTGAATAATATTGTGACGATGTTATAATTGCTATAGAATACTTAAATAATTTATCATTTAGAGTTGCTAAACGAAAAAATAATGAGATTATTAATTTTTTTTTTCTTTTTTATCTATTGATTTATGTTTGATATCTATTAGAATGTTAGCATTATCTCATACAATAAAACATATCTCTTACTAACCAGAATTTTCTAAAACACTTCGATTATTTTTCAAATAGATATATTTTTTTTTCGACATTTTTACGGCTAACTTAATATTCAAACTCGCCTTAAATTATTAATTTTATCGAAATATAAGTATACATATTTATGTCTGATGATATTTTGCCTAATTAAACATTCTTTTATGGTATTTTCAATTTTTTATTGTTGTTCACACGATGCATATCCCTACCTGATTCATACGACCACTACCTTTGCTAAACTCGGTAAAACTTTTATGAGGAAGGTTTTAGTTTATTCAAATTATCCATTCAATATGCATGCACTTTTATTAATCATGTGAATACTGATTTGCACACAGTTGTAAATAAACAATGAGAACATAGCTTTTTTCTAATTGTATGTTCAAAAAAGTTCTATCATGTCTTGTTTTTCAGTAATGAGTACATGTTTAAACAATACTAAAATATAATCTGTAAAAAACAGCTCAAAATAATGGGCACAGAAAAAACAAATCTCTCAGTATTTTTTTGTTTTCTATTCTGTTCAATCTGATCGATTGTATACTGCTACTGCTGCTGCTTTTTTTGAGGTTAGATGCACCATTTCATTTGCTACAAACTTGATGGAAATCCCTATTGTATCACATTAGATGATGTATTCAACAATTTGAAAAATAATGATATAAGAAATAACGTCAAAACTTAATGTGAAAAAGATGATGAACTAATAAATGTTTTCGAGATTCGAATGGCATATTTTTTATAAAATCATTTGAAATGATAACTACGAATAACTTAAGATTACACATGTACGAAACCATGAAAAAGAGAAGTTGTTCAAACTGGAATTGAGACGAGAAAAACTTGACTCCGCACATTTCTATGCAAGATATTCGCCCTATGAATACGTTTGAGTCAATGACAAAATCGAACATCAGTCTAAAAATGGCTAGAAACTCGAAGGTGAGTGTTCACAAAGAATTTCATAGTATTTTCCGCATGATTTGTTGAGAATAGAGACGGTAATCTGATAGAGAAAAGATAAACAACATCTGATGAACTGAACCGAAATAAATTGCAAAATACTATGAAATTACATCTTTCTGTAGTATTCATTTCCTACTACAGATCACATTTTAGTGTTGTTGAAAGATGAAACATGATAGAAATTTTTTTAAACGTACAGTCAGAAAGCGCTTTCTATGTAATTTTTGTCAGTAAAATATGTTTTCAAAGTTTGAAGTACCTATTAGAAACTATATCTTAAAAGTAAGATAAAAATATTTCTTACAGTAAATTCTGATATTGTATTTCGTTCAAAATCATTTTTAAGTCGATTATTAAGTTGATGAATGACTGTACGACCACTTTTTCCATATATAATTAAAAAAACATTAGCATCAGTTCCAGCATTTGCTACATTACCAGTTTTAACAATTACCTGATAACATATTGGACCTATTAAATATGAATAAAACAAAAGAAATGAAAAATTTTCTATCAAATAAGAATTACCTTTTAAATGATGATCCGTTGATGGATATATTTCTTTAGTTGACTTATATCTATTTACTTTTTTATCAAGATAAATATTAAATGGAAAATAAACATGAGATTGTTTATGATCATCATTTGGTATTATTTTCCATATTACCATATCTTTTATATGCCAATCCATTACTAATTGGTTTTTATCTGATTCAACACTTGAAATAAAAAATTCTTTGTTCATATGAAAAAATATTCATCTAATACTTACATAATTTCTAATACATCTCCAAGATTTGGACCAACAATTGCAAATGTATCTAATTGATTTTTTTCAAATAAATTAATTCGATTATTTGTTAATGTTAATTGAGATGTTTGACTTATTGAGCCAAGAATTTTGATTTGAATATTTGCATTAGTACCAGCAATAGATTTTTCACCTGTACGAATTTGTAGAATATAAACTAAATATATATATAAATAATTGAAAAAAAAAAATTATAATAAGTTTTAATTAAAATATTTACTTGATAAGGATAATTTAGTTTGCTGATAAACATTTGGTTTTATTTCATTCATTTGTTGTTCATTAGTTTTTGGTAACCAACAATTAAATTCACATAACCATGTAATTGAATTAGTTAAATCAGTTATTTCAATTTCTTTTAGAAACCATTCTTTATCTGAGCGAGAACCAATAAGCTTAAAAAGAAGAAGAAGAAGAAGAAGAAATAAAAAATAACAATACATTCTAGTGTTATTTACATTAACATTTAAATGATGTAATTGACCAATATTTGGTCCTTTAAAACAAAATGTTCGAATAGAACCACATGGAAAACCATCCGTAGACGTTGACAAGTTTTTATTAATATGTCCTTGTAAATGAAGTGATGTCCAATTCTTTTCCGTTCCATACAAATATAAAAATACCTTGAAAAAAAAAACATACAAGAATCAATTTAATTTAATTTTTCGAATTACTTGAGCTCGTGTGCCACTATTTTTTTGTGTACCAGTTCGTACAATAAATCGATAAGATATTAAATCCAATGATGATAATAAATTTTGTTTTATTCGATCTAATGACGATGATGATGATAAACGAGCTTTAGGGTTTTTATATGGAATAAGTTTATGTTTCTTAATGAAAAAAAAAACAGACGTGTTATTAGATCGTGAATTCAATTAAATATATACTTTAGATTCATCACGTGGTTTAGTTCGTTCATGTTGATGTTGATTTATTGAACACAAATAACAAAATGTATGACTATGATCATCATGAAAATCTACATACTCGTATTCTTTGTTTTTTTAAATATTTTTTCTTAAAATCTTCAAACCTGTTTTATGAATTCCAGTTACATCTGAATCAATTGTTTTATTAGTAAAAAATACACCTGCATTAGTCCATTTTGAAGTATTGCTAGAAGTTGTAAGTTGTTCATATAATGTTTCAAAACCGTGTCGATGAGCAATAGTTTTTAATTCATCTCCTGAATTAACAAAAAAAAAATGATATTTAGACAACTTTATAAATCTTCGCTTAACTAGTTTTCTTTGAGTTTGATGAATTAAAATGATCACCAAATGAATGTGATCGAGATATATCATCACCAGTATATTTGAGATTCATTTTTATAGATGTAAAAAAAAAAGTCCTTTTTTTTGTTATTGATATATTATGTTAGTGCTGTTATGATGCCATTAGTTGATAACATACCTTAGTGATGACTTCCTTGTCAACGGTAACCAGGATGGAAGAAAAAAACTTATCTTTCTCTTTCTTTTTCTCATGTTTCTTCTAGGCGACGCATTAAAAAATATGCGGAAATTCTTTGAAGGAAAGGAAAAAAAACATTAGTTTATCATTATTATTTGAAGTCGTTACTTTCTTTTAGCAAAAGTATATGAATAATCGGATTTCGTTTTTTGTAATGAATATATTTTCGACAGTAAATGATCCGAAAAAGTTACTAATACAATGAAATCTTTTCTTTTTTCAGTTAGCTGTCTCATTTTCCATAAGCTTCTCTTTTCATTATTTTCTAAAGAAAGATAAAATGTTAGCATTCAGAGTCTTACATATCTCAATAGTTAATATTCTTAAACAAGATATTAAGCCTTTGTAAAAATGTGTAGTTTTTATCCAACAGAGAAGTCCTATACAGTATTGCTCAAAATAATAAAAAAAAGGTACTTTTTACTTTTTCTGTGATGCTGAATGTCTAACACAAATCCAAATTATGGTTTGGATAGTCAATAAAGTTTTTTATCAGATTCACAATATATCAATGTTTCATAGTTAGGTTGTGCGAGAAAGTTTTCGGGTTCCAGAAAATGTTGTTGGGATTTATTTTTAGCAGTACCCTCTGAAAGAGTTTGAGTAACAAGAGAAGCCATCGCGTTTTTTCCGACCTTCTCTCACAATCATCACAACGAAAAAGCAAAGTTTATCAAAAATTGCTATAAAATGTATTTTCTGTTGGTAGTGATGCTTGTAATTTTAAAAGAGAAAGTCGTAAAGAACACGACGACCCCTTCTATTGTTCATAATCCAGCAGGGTTGAAATTCTCTTGTTGCATTTCTGCTCAATTTTTCTCCTCCGGTGTCACTATTGGCTCTTTATTATAATAATGTTAAAAATTAATTTCCACAATGTGTTCGGTTTTTTTAAAAAACTTGATTTGCTATTTAAATTACTATTTGGATGTGCGTTCAGTAATCGACATCATAAGAAAACAAAATAACAACAATACCTTGTTCTTGTAATTCAGAACAGTACTTTATAGAATAAATAAATCTAATCATAATGATGTGACTTGTTCATATACTTTACAAGTCTTATTTAAAACGCATCATTTAACAAATATTCAACAGCTAATGAAAATTTCTATTGAATGAAAAATTATATATTAACCCTGGACTTAAATTAACTTTTCTATTGTGTTCTATAAATAAAAAAAAATGCTTTTCATTCTCAAAAAACCTATCCAAAGTAAATCAAGATTTTCTTGAAACAAAAAAAAAGTACATAATTGAAGCATTCTCCGAGAGAACTTAATTCATTCAAAAATACTTTCTAAGTATAAATAATCACTTTCTTAAAGATGTTTATTCACACACAAGATCTAGTTATGCATAGAAATGATTCAATCATCTATAATATTCTTCTAGCTATTTGCCTTAAAGACACTGATAATGTTATCATCTTATATTCAATAATAATCATCAATAGATATCATTTAAATTCTGTGTATCATTGATTTTTATTCAAAAATGTTTACACAGACGAAAACTTCCAAATGAAAAAAAAAACAATCCTACAAAAACAAAAAAAAAACACAGAATCTTTTGTTTTTAAGCTGCTCGTTTCCAAAATTTTTTCAATTCCTCTGGTGGAGGATCTGGATGTACATTAGTTACAACACCAGTTCCAACTGTTTTATTATCTGCATCACGTAATGTAAATCGAGCACCTTTTTCCAAAACCTAAATATTTCATAACAAAAAATATTTTTTCTCTTCTCAAAAAAACAACAACAAACCATTCGTTTGCTTGTATATAATGTCATTGTTGCATCTTCACCTGGCATAATCATTTCACGACCTTCAGGTACAACACCTTTAACACCAATATCATATGTTCGACAATACATAGTTAATACAAATTCTTTGGGAATTGGTTCTTCACGGCCACCTTCTTCTTTAGATAAGAAATAAGTCTAATAAATACAGAATAAAAATTACAAAAAAAAAAACTTTCATGATTTTTTTTTTTGTATCTTACTTGACAATCAAATTTATTATGCATTTTCAATGAGCCAGGTTTACCAACAAACACACCTCTACGAATATCTTCTTTTCGAATATTTTTAAGTAATATACCTAATTGATCACCTGGTTGCGCTTGTTCAATCGTTTGATGAAACATTTCCAAACCTTCAATTAAATATTTTTTTTTTAATCAATCAATTTTTCTAAAATAAGTTGTGCACTAGAATAAATATTCTCTCTTCGTATTTTCTCAATATCGCTATACCTTAATCTTTTTTTTAAGATTCAAGCTTCTAACATATGCAATTTTCAAACGTTGTTTTTGTTTCAGAACAATTTAACATTTTTCTAGTTTCGTACAATATGACACAGTAGAATTTACAAGAATATTTCTTCAACTGATAAATTGCTTTTCAATTGAGACTATATCCATTATGTAAATCCAAATGAGCTATGAAAACTCTGGAAGATTTCTTGTTCTTAGGTTATTACTGCAAAGATATTGCACTTTTGCGATAGGTTTTAAATGAATGCGGTGGTCACTTTCAGGAATATTGCTTTTCGAGTTTCGGCTAGAAACTTTTCATAGACACAGGTCTTAATAAGAATATTTTATTGTGAAAGTTTCAAGTCTATTGATTTGGTTCTATCCTGAAATAAGCATACCATCTCTGCTGATTTAAGGTCATGCTATTACCATAGTTGTATCTTAGGATAGAAACAGTGATAAGATCTGAAACATTCACCCCAAACTGGATCTGTCTCTAAGCAGAGTTTCAAGTCGAAATTCGAAAATCAGTTTTTCTATTACTACCGTATTCACTTAAAAAAATACCCTAAAAGTGCAGTATCTTTGCAGCAATAAGCTAAGGGTACGAACTTTTTTCAGAGTTCTTGAAATTGAAAAACTGTTGAATTATATTAACTCTTTGTTTTCGTTAGTTAATGCAAAATTTTCTGAGAATCTCAAAATTAGTGATTCAAAGCTGTTATTTTTGTAAAATTCGGGAAAAGAAATAATTCATTCATATATTTTTTTCAGAAGTTTAAAACTTCAGCGATTACATCTAAATAAAGCGTATTTTAATTGTTAAAATTGACCTCAGATCATTTCAGGAAAAAAAGATTAAGACATGATGATATTGAAAAAATATTTCCAAGGAAACATATCCAATGGTCGAACATCGTTCAATTTTCGCATTAAATCTACGAGTAAATCTCGATGAGACTAGGAAAAGCTTAAAACAATTTTTGCTGCTGATCTACTCGCAGTCTTAATACGAAGTCGTCCGACGTGTTATTTATGTTCCTTTGTTCGAGAGACATTTATTCTGGTGTACCAATTGTATTCTTTACCTCCAATAATTCCTTTATTAAGTTTATTATGTCCAACAACTTCAATTGGGTCACCTTTTTTTGCACTACCACGTTCAACACGTCCAGTTGCAATCGTACCTTTATCTGAAAAAAAAACAATGATAAAATATAAAAATTAATTGTATGATTTAAATTTATACTCGGTATTGAATAGACATGCTCAACAGGTAATAAAAATGGTTGATCAATAGCTCGTGGTGGTACGGGAATATATGTATCAACAGCTTCGAATAATTTCAATACAGCTTCTTTACCTAATTTTGGATCTCGATCCTGAAAAGAAAAATTATTAAATCGAAAACAAAAAAAAAAAACTAAATCATCTGTACATACTTCAAGTGCATATAATGCTGAACCAGGTATTATTGGAGTATGTTCACCATCAAAACCAATTTGTGTTAGTAATTCACGTAATTCAAGTTCAACCTAATATGAAGAAAAGAAAACAAATATCATTAATTTTTCTCGTGAATAAATCTAATTTCAGTGTTCTTGATAAATAAATTAGAAAACTTACTAATTCAATCATTTCTTTATCAGCTGCATCTGCTTTATTCATAAAAACAACAATTTTTTCAATACCAATCTACAAATATAAATAATAATAAAATAGAAAAATTAAATATTTCTATCAACTTGTTTAGCAAGAAGAAGATGTTCACGTGTTTGTGGCATAACACCATCAGTTGCAGCAACAACAAGTATTGCACCATCCATTTGTGATGAACCAGTAATCATATTCTAAAATGAATTAAATTCATAATAAAATTCTTTCTTTCTTTGAAAATAAATATACTTTAATATAATCAGCATGTCCAGGACAATCCACATGACCATAATGTCGATTCGCTGTTGAATATTCAATATGTGCTGCATTGATTGTAATACCACGTTTTTTTTCTTCAGGTGCATTATCGATTTCTTCATATTTTTTTATTTTAGCTAATTTTTTTTCACTAAGAACTTTTTTTTTGTTAAAAGAAAAAAAAAAAGAAATAGAAATAAGAATAATATTTGTTTCTTTTTCTATAGTCTTACTTCGAGTAATAGCAGCTGTTAGAGTCGTTTTACCATGATCAACATGACCAATTGTACCAATATTAATATGTGGTTTATCACGTTTAAATGTCTTTTTCTCAACAACAACTTGTGCAAGACATCGTCGAAAATAAGCATTGATTAGAGACATATCAGTGATCGATTGCTATTAGAAATTTTTTTTTATTTCAGCATAACATATTAAGGGTACCCCCCCCTCTTTTTTGATCAAAAACTCGATTTTGAGTTGAGCATAAGGTATGATAGCCTCAAGTGTTATGTGCAATTAGAGACATCATTCGACTCTAAACACCTTACTATTACAGAGTTACTGAATTAAAAAAATTTTTTTTTTTCTT